GGCCGAGTTCTGATCCGGCCAAAACAGGATTTCGGAACGTCTCTAGTTTTTAGATCGTAAGTCAGGATAAACTCAAACTGAAAGTTCAGTTGTTTGTACGACGCAGTTTTTATTTACTCACCATAAACAAGCTGAAACGTTCAGTATGGCATATATTTTAGGTTAAAGATGGTCCCATTCATTTGAAAAGCATTTTGAAAGTAGACGATGGAATTATTTCAGGTTTGGGGAACGAGTAAATTATCACATAGTTCATTTCTTGACGACCTCATAATTTCATCATGTCGATGGTACAAATCGATTTTTACTGTTTACTTTCGCTTCTCATGTTTTGTAAACGGTCTTTTATTTTTAAACCCGAATCAGGCATATGCATTCTGTAATTGCGCAAATCTTCGTTCTTTGGTCAATTGGCTTATGGATAGTTGTATCAATTTCAACTCTTACATTATTTTTAAGAAAATATATTTGCATTACACATGCAATGGCAGTACCTTTCCAATTACTATTTATGTGTTGTGTCTAAATTAAAGTTGTAACACTTTATAGTGACTGGAAAGAGTAGAAAAATTTCATCAGATGAGGACAGGCTGAAGATACATGGAAACGGCACCAAATCATTAGATATTGCATCTTATAAAAAGAAACTGAGATTTGGATAGTTTCACTTCAAGGTAAAAATGTTTATCTCTTGTGAAATGAAATAAAAAAATATTGTAACACTGTAGTTAATTAATAAAGATACTATTACATGTATTTCTGTATTGGCCTTATTGTTGGTCCTCGGCCAGCAGTACACCAAGACTTGGACCAATAACAAGGACAATACAGAAATACGTACGCAATAATATTATAGAATGACAGTATGGTTCAATAGCGGGAATCAGCCCCTCGACTACTTTTTACATAAATATTAACTTCTGGCTTCAACTCCTTGTTCGTCTTGTCTGGAGATCTTGTTGTAGTTCCAGTTAGGCAAGCATTTTAGAGACGTATCCCGTCCATCCTCTCTTGACTTGTAATTTCTGGTGATAGATTTTGCCGCTTGACGTTGTATCCTTTCAAGCTTGTTTTTTTTTGTTACCCTGTAGGGGTCCAATACTATGGCTCCATATTAAATTGTAAGATCCATTCCTAAAGGTCTAGATCATTGTTCTAATCTGACACAAATTTCAATAACTGGAATACTACCCAAGTTGAATATATGGTGACCTACTAGAACAGCATTATCACTATTGAAATTGTGTTTAATACCATGATTGTTCAATGTCATTAACTTAAATGGAGACAGACATTTGACCCGAAAGGTGGTGTGGGAGTGCAAAATCAAAAACTAACTGACTATGATATATGGTTAAAGAATGAATATCAATTACATGGGTCAACATGGTCAAGGGCAGAGTTGTTATGAAATAACAATATGGCAGAGAAGTGGTTTCAAGTTTCATATAAAGCGACCTGACTGACATGACATAAAAAATCAAAGGAGTATCCCTATTTGTCTAATCTTCAAGGTGAAATAAAACTAGTAAAACAATATTATACTATTGTCTAAATCTACAGAAATATTATTTGCTTCAAGTAACAGAAATAACTAGGTCACTAGTAACTTATTTAATGAGTACATGTATGTGGGGTATAAGAGCTCGATAACAACAGGCTCTTCATAATCATTTGGTTTGAAAAGGATACTAGTAGTCTATATTCTTGATTTAGAAAAATGTAATTGCAAGACAAAAATCACATTACTTAGAATACTTTAGATCATTCAGGTAGTCTTTATTTATATGTACAAAAGAACAGCCAGTAGTCATTGGATATTGTAGACCATTCAAATAGTCTTGACCTATTTATTAGTACAAAAGAACAGCCAGTAGTCATTGGATATTGTAGATCATTCTGGTAGTCTTGACCTATTTATTTATAGAAAAAAACAGCCAGTAGTCATTGGATACTGTAGATCATTCAGGTAGTCTTGACCTATACATTTGTACTAAAAAAACAGCCAGTTGTCATCTTCACATAACACACACATATACGAATATCAATTATATGCTTACGAGACATGTTGGAATGTTTAACTTAATTACGGTATGTGAAAATCAAGACTTGCATAAAAAATATCACAATATTAGAGACAGTGGCGTCATTTTTCCTCAGAGCTTTCAGCTCTTTGATTTTCTTCTTTTCTTTGGTAAATTGTTTGTAGAATTTTGTGGCAAGTTTGTTTGTTATTCTGTAAAAACTAATTTTCTGAATGCTATATATATTTTTTTTTTGATGAAGTAAACTCCTTTAAAAACTAAGCTTATATTGTCTATTAATAAACATATACTTAGATTTCTGATTTTGGGCCCAGTTTTCAAGTTGGTCCAAATTGGGGTCCAAAATTAAACTGTGTTTGATTTCAACATAAATTGAATATATAGGGTTCTTTGCTTAATCTAAACCTATATTTCTTTTCATTATTAATAAGATAATACCACATTGAGGTCCAAAGGGTCCTAAATTACACTTTTGATTAATTTCATCAAAAATTGAATTCTTTGGTTCTTTGATATGCTGATTCTAGCTATGTTTGAGTGTTAAATCATATCTAATTTTAGAAAACTTAGTCATCACTGGTTGTTGTTATTATATTATTGATTATAATTTGAAAAATTGCATCATATCTTATTTTAGAGAACTATTTATCCAGTTTGAGTTATTTCCCTTTGCACAGAAAATGTTATGGATAAAATTAACCTGTGTTTCATTTCAACATAAATTAAATATATATAGGGTTTTTTCAAATGCTGAATCTAACCCTGTATTTAAATATTAGATTTTTGGGCCCAGTTTTCAAGTTGGTCCAAATCAGGGTACAAAATTAAACTTTGTTTGATTCAACAAAAAAATTATTTATGGGGTTCTTTGAAATGCTGAATCTAACCATGTATTGATAGATTTTGGATTGTGGGTTCCATTATCAAATTGGTCCACATTGAGGTCCAAAGGGTCTTAAATTAAACTTTTGTCTGATTTCATCAAAAATTGAATTCTTGGGGTTCTTTGATATACTGATTCTAATATGTACTTAGATTTTTGATATTGGACCATAATTGGTATTTAAATGTCCAATTTCAAGTATTTCAGTTCTTAAACCACATTAATTTTGTGTCACAAACCTATGTTGTGTCAAATATTCAATCACAATCCAAATTCAGAGTTATTCCCTTTTAGTGATGATTTTTACTATAAAGAGGCCATTTTTGAAGATGCAGGTGAGTGACACAGGCTCTTTAGAGCCTCTAGTTAAAACATGGCAAATTGGATGTGTTTGGATTGTTTTGATCCACTGGTCCAACTTTTTACACACCAGTGTATTTGTACATCAACAGCACATACCAAATTATGGTTCATATAAATTTACTGGTCCATAAATGCATTCTTATGCCTTGTGAGCAAAGGAAAGATACTAGGCCTGGTGCCGTGTTAGAGATCCAATCGAGTATAAACTGGTCCATGTGATCCAGTGAGAGTAAATACTTATTTAACAAAATTGTGCAGGTCACTGTTATGTCACAGCAACATAAGAGCAAATTTATATCACATGACTTAATCAAGTAAGGAAGATTATGCAATAGAGGTAGCCTTTAAATTGATAGAAAAATGTTTTTTCCGTACAATGATACTGCTACGCAACAGTCAGTAGGTCTTAGATGGGACTTAAAATGTTGCTGAGGTATGTGGAGTCCGACTGAATCTCTGGACCCAAAAGACACGATATCTGTAACCAATGTGTGTTTTAATTTAGATAGATTTCGGCCAACTGAAGGTAAACCATAAAATTACTAGGAAAAACTAATGAGTACAAGATTCCAACTGAAGTTTGACTTAAAACCCTTGTAAAACATCCTGGCCCCGGTCCTGCATGGACTCCTAAACATGATTATGTATAAAATTTACTGAAGTTTATCAGTGAGTATTCATCAGTATTTTCGTTAATAGCTGAATGAAATCTTTCAGAATCAGTCCCAATGTCTAGCTAATTGCCATCTGAGGAATTGTTTATTTGAATACACTTTAAGATTGTTCTGTGCATCAGCAGCAATTGGTAAGTGTTTAGTTACATTACTTCGTGAGAGATTGCAGTGAGGGGCTAAGTGGTTTGACTGATAAAATTCTGATTCTGTAGTTGATTATGTCAAAGGAGGAATCGTGATAAAGTGCAACTAAATAGTTTACTTTGATCTGATCTTATCTTAGGCCAAAAAAAAATATGTTGTGTTTCCTTTTACCCTACTGACCCTAAATTACCTCCCCGACCAATTTTTTTTTTAACCAAAATCAAAAGTGCCACCCAAAACACTGATGATTCGCTTCTAGTCTAAGGTGATCTAGTCACTTCTGTTTGCAGAACAAAGGGTTAAATGAGCAATTCTCTAATTACTACTATTACTATCCATGTTAAACAGAAAATCCACACACACAGGGATATGTCCCAGCACCATTATCCCTACTAAAAAAATGCCTACCTACCGACACACAGAGAGAGTTGGAATTTGGGCAGTGAGTTATTTACCTCTCTAGAGTTATGCCCTTTTTAACTTCGAAAATTGTAATTTTTTCAGTTTCTGCACTCTTAAGTTTGTTTTGTCCAAATTTTATGAAAAACATACACAATATAAAGAACAACAACACGCAGACAAATTGCAAAGCTTGAGCGGGGGCATTCATGTCCTCAGACTCATTCTTCTTTTATTTTAGTTCTTTGATGAAGAAAAGAGAATTTGCTCATGGAAATGTTTTGGGCATAGCAGTCCGGCTCTAGGTTCAATCTTAATTTATCGTTCAGCTAAGGCTTAATTATTATGAACTTTGAGCAATGTTTGTTAGTTCTGGGCACCACTGATTGGGCACCATGTATATTTCTTAGTATACAGCAAATACTTTTTTCAGCACTATTTTACATTGATTATACTTACTGTAGTTTATGTGAAGAATTTTTTTTATTGTAGGATATCTTCATGAGTTTGCCTCAGGGGAACATCCAGTTTTTAATACTTTTCCCCAGCCTACAGAATTTGCTGATCCTGTAAGTTAAAAATTAATAGAATTTCTGTTAATTAAATCTGTATTCTAAACTGAAATGAAATTTATATTCTAAACTAAAATGTAATATGCAGGTATCATTTTAAATTATCAAGTAGAACCCTCAAATATTTTTCATAGTTTTTCAAGCTTAGAAACTGTGTCAAACATATGGCCAAATCATTTTTCCAGAAAAATATGTAGGACACATTCAACTGCTTTAACAAACTTTTATCAGATTCTGCACATTTTAAATATCAGCTTTTCAAGTGTTTCTTGTGGAAAAACAAGCATGGGTATCTGATTTGTGAGTGCATCTGGATATTTCTCTGTTAGGTCTGTCAGTTGTTCATATTGTATAGGTCATCTAAAGGTACTTCTGATACTGCTCATATTCATCTGACAAATAGACCACTAGATTGCACAGGGATTCTTGAATTATTATTGGAAGATGGAGATGCAGTCGAACCTCGTTGGTCAAAAACTTGGATGAGTCGAAGTAATTGCTCGGTCCGGTAAAATTCCCAATTGATCAAAGCATATTTACCCCTGATGAGTCAAACTCGGATGATCGAATACTCGATTGAGTTGAATAAACTTTATAGCCCCATCGATATAAAATAAATGTAAATTGACCCCGATGTCTCATAGTAGAAAGTAAGAATTTTCTAAAGATTCAGACATAACGATAACAATTCAAATAAATTCAAATCGGATGTATTTCTTATGCAACCTAATCATTTTCAAAAGAGATTAAAGCTGTGTAAACATACTTGTTTGTATAAAGTTGAAATGACATGTTTATGGTGACCGGTAATTAACACCTTTGTTGATTGTCCTAGGGGAACCTTAGTGTGTTGAACATATTTCACTGACATAAAAACGAAATGAATCTAAATGACCCAAGCCGAGATTAATTGAGAGATTAAATGAATCCTTAAAATAAAAATCCATTAATTACAATAAATAAAAAGGTTAAGACAACTATGATCAATTTAAAATAAATGAATAAAAACAGACGACTCTCCATCATCAGAGATCTTTCTGAACTTGTTACATTCCGCAAGTGATTTCATCATTTATGGTGACTGACCTTTGTATATATTTGTGTATTGATTTTATTATACGACTGCAAACAAAATTTTGCGTCGTATAATGCTATGATGTCGTCGTCCGAAGACACATTTGGTTTCCGGACAATAACTTTAGTTTAGGAGAATGGATCTCTATGAATTTTTACCAGAAGGTTAAATACCACAAAAGGAAGGTTGGGATTGATTTTGGGGGTGATGGTACCAACAGTTTAGGAATTAGGGGCCAAAAACAAGTATTTTTGTAGTTTCCGGACAATTATTTGTGTGTAAGTGTATGGATCTCTCTGAAATTGTACCACAAGGTTCCATATCACAAAGGGAAGGCTGGGATTGAGTTTGGGGTTAGTTGCCCCAAACGTTCAGGAATTAGGGGCAAAAAAGGGGCAGAAAACAGCATTTTTCTAGTTTTCAGACAATAACTTGTGTTTAAGTGTATAGATCTCTCTAAATTGTACTACAAGGTTCCATACCATAAAGAGAAGGAGCTGGGATTGAGTTTGGGGGTAATTACTCCAAAAGGGGGGGGGGGTGGTTCAAAAACTTGGGAGGATTTTTTTTTTCCAATATTTTTGGGGGGGTTCATTTTTTTTCTTCAAAATTTTTGGAATTTCAAATTTTTGAAATTTTCAATTGCACAGTATTGCGCAATAGCAAGAAATCTTCAATTGCACAGTATTGCGCAATAGCAAGAAATATTCAATTGAAAACAAATACAAATATTTTAACCAATTTCGATGGGATTAATTAAGTCTTTAATTTTTGGGGGTTCTAACCTTGCATAATTTTTTTGGATATTGGGCCCCATTTTTAAATTGGTCTACATTGAGGTCAAAAGGGTCCAAAATTAAACTTTGTTTGAATTCATCAAAAACTGAATTATTGCAGCTGTATGATTTGCTGAATCTTATTGTGCATTTAGATTTTTATTTTGGGCCCTGTTTTCAAAATAGTTCATATTAAGGTTTGAAAGGTCCAAAATTAAACTTTGTTTGATTTCAACTAAAATTAAATTTTTGGTGTTTTTTTATATGCTGAATCTAACCATGTTGTTAGATTTTGGATATCAGACCATTCTTGTCTCATTTCAAATTTTTAAGATCTTTGACCACATTTATTTTGTGTCAGAAACCTATATTATGTCAAAAATTTGATCACAATCCAAATTCAGGCAGTATCAAGCTTAAGCTTGAATATATATTGTGTCCAAACTTGCCCCAACTGTTTAGGGTTCGACCTCTGCGGTTGTATCAGGCTGCTCTCAGCGAAGCATTTTATTCGTGAATGTTTTGTATCTGTCCTTGTGTGTTAAATTATCATGAGGGACCAAAAAATATGGAGATTGAATACACAATCATAAAGTGTCATATAAAAAAGACACACTGTTTAAAATATCTAGTTTGCACAAATCTCATTCCATATTTCATGGATTCCAAATTTATAACGACACACTCGACTTTCGATCTCTCTAAATATCAAGTAATTTTTAAAATTGGAATTATCTTCCTTTGTCCATGATTATAGTTGAATCAACTACAATCAATGCTTTATACAATGCAATGTTTAATTTTGACTTCCACTGATAAAACACAGATCAAGTTGAATTTGGGTAGTGTCACTTTAACCATTATTGAGTTATGCCCCTTTATAAATCGAAAGATTGCTAAATTTTTAGTTTCCATTCTGTAACTTAAGTTTGCCCCAACCAAACATTATGAAACCTATACACAATATTCCTTACCTCAAAACTAAGATCAAGTACAAATATTTGTTTCAGTTTTCTAACTTTTATAGTTTGCCTCAACCAAATGTTATGAAACTTATACAGAATGCTTATTACTACATAATACAGATTAAGTACGAAAATTTGGTGAGAACACTTTTGCCATTCTTGAGTTATGTCCCTTTATAAATATAAAAATTGCTGAATTTTTTGTTTCCGTTCTCTAACTTTAGTTTGTCTCAACCAAATGTTATAAAACTTATACACAACCGTTCTAGAGTTATGCGTGTTTACAAATAGAAAAATTGCTGAATTTTTATACGACCGCAAAAATTTTGCGGTCATATATTGGTATGAAGTTGGCGTCGTCGTCGTCGTCCGAAGACACATTAGTTTTCGCACTATAACTTTAGTTTAAGTGAATGGATCTCTATGAAATTTTACCATAAGGTTCAATACCACAAAAGGAAAGTTGGGGTTGATTTTGGGGGTTATGGTACCAACAGTTAAGGAATTAGTGGCCAAAAAGGGGCCAAAAATAAGCATTTTTGTAACTTCCAGACAATAACTTGTGTGTAAGTGTATGGATCTCTCTGACATTGTACCACAAGGTTCCATATCACAAAGGGAAGGCTGGAATTGATTTTGGGGGTAATTGCCTCAAAATTTTAGGAATTAGGGGCCAAAAAAGGGGCAAAAAACAAGAATTTTTAGCTCACCTGGCCAGAAGGGCCAAGTGAGCTTTTCTCATCACTTGTCGTCCGTCGTCCATCGTTGTCGTCGTCGTCCGTCGTCGTTAGCTTTTTACAAAAATCTTCTCCTCTGAAACCACTGGGCCAAATTTAACCAAACTTGGCCACAATCACCATTAGGGTAACTAGTTTAAAAAATGTGTCCGATGACCCTGCCAACCAACCAAGATGGCCGCCATGGCTAAAAATAGAACATAGGGGTAAAATGTAGATTTTGGCTTATATCTCTGAAACCAAAGCATTTAGAGTAAATCTGACAAGAGTTAAACTGATAATCAGGTCAAGATCTATCTGCCCTGAAATTTTCAGACAAATCTGACAACCTGTTGTTGGGTTGCTGCCCCTGAATTGGTAATTTTTAGGAAATTTTGTAGTTTTTATACGACCGCAAAAAATTTTGCAGTCTTCGTCGTCGTTGTCGTCCGTCGTCGTCCGAAGACACATTGGTTTTCGCACTCTAACTTTAGTTTAAGTGAATGGATCTCTATGAAATTTTACCATAAGGTTCAATACCACAAAAGGAAGGTTAGGATTGATTTTGGGGGTTATGGTACCAACAGTTAAGGAATTAGGGGCCAAAAAGGAGCCAAAAATAAGCATTTTTGTAACTTCCAGACATAACTTGTGTGTTAGTGTATGGATCTCTCTGACATTGTTCCACAAGGTTCCATATCACACAGGGAATGATGGGATTGATTTTGGGGGTAATTGCCTCAAAATATTAGGAATTAGGGGCCAAAAAAGGTGCAAAAAACAAGCATTTTTCTAGTTTCATGACAATAACTTGTGTGTAAGTGTATGGATCTTTCTGAAATTGTACTACAAGTCTCCATATCACAAAGGGAAAGCTGGAATTGAGTTTGGGGGTAATTGCCCAAAACGTTTAGGAATAAGGGGCCAAAAAGGGGCCAAAAATAAGCATTTTTCTAGTTTCCAGACAATAACTTGTGTTCAAGTGTATGGATCTCTCTGAAATTGTACCACAAGGTTCCATATCACACAGGGAATGCTGGGATTGATTTTGGGGGTAATTGCCTCAAAATATTAGGAATTAGGGGCCAAAAAAGGGGCAAAAAACAAGCATTTTTCTAGTTTCATGATAATAACTTGTGTGTAAGTGTATGGATCTTTCTGAAATTGTACTACAAGGTTCCATATCACAAAGGGAAAGCTGTAATTGAGTTTGGGGGTAATTGCCCAAAATGTTTAGGAATAAGGGGCCAAAAAGGGGCCAAAAATAAGCATTTTTCTAGTTTCCAGACCATAACTTGTGTTCAAGTGTATGGATCTCTCTGAAATTGTATTGCAAGGTACCATACCACAAAGGGAAGGCTGGGATTGAGTTTGGGGGTGATGAATCATAAAGGGGTTCAAAATATTTGGGGGGGGGATTTTTTTTTTTTTTTCCTTTTTTTCTTTTTCTCCTTTTTTTTTTCTTTTAAAATTTTCCATTTTAAGTTGGTTATTTCTCTGTTTTATATTTAAAAGCAAATAATAATGATATGGTAGGAGATACACACCAAACAGGATGTGTAAATTATTATATAATAAGTTTTGTGCAATAGCAAGAAATTTTCAATTGCACAGTATTCCACAATAGCAAGAAATCTTCAATTTCACAGTATTGCGCAATAGCAAGAAATCTTCAATTGCACAGTATTGTGCAATAGCAAGAAATATCCAATAGCACAATATTGCGCAATAGCAAGAAATTGTCAATTGTACAGTATTGCGCAATATCAAGAAATATTCAATTGCACAGTATTGTGCAAAAGAAGATACTTCGTATAAGTTGCTTATTTCTTGACCAATTTCAATGGGGTTTTATTCTTGAATTCTTGGGGTTCTTAAATATTCTGATTCTAACAGTGTATTAAGTTTTTGGATTTTGGGCCCTGTTTTTAAATTGGTCCACATTGAGGTCCAAAGGGTCCAAAATTAAACTTTGTTTGATTTCATCAAAAATTGAATTATTGGGGTTCTTTGATATGCCTAATCTAACTGTATTTAGATTCTTAATTTTTGGTTCCGTTTTCAAATTGGTCTACATTAAGGTCCAAAGGGTCCAAAATTAAACTTAGTTTGATTTTAACAAAAATTGAATTCTTAGGGTTCTTTGATATGCTGAATCTAAACATGTATTTAGATTTTTGATTAAGGGCCCAGTTTTCAAGTTGGTCCAAATCGGGGTCCAAAATTAAACTTTGTTTGATTTCAACAAAAATTGAATGTATGGGGTTCTTTGATATGCTGAATCTAACCATGTATTTAGATTTTTGATTTTTGGGCCCCATTATCAACTTTGTCCACATTGAGGTCAAAAGGGTCCAAAATTAAACTTTGTTTGATTTCATCAAAAATTGAATTCTTGGGGTTCTTTGATATGCTGAATCTAACCATGTATTTAGATTTTGGATATTGGACCATAATAGGTGAATGTCCAATTTAAAATTTTTAAGTTCTTAGACCACATTCATTCTGTGTCAGAAACCTATGCTGTGTCAAATATTTAATCACAATCCAAATTCAGATCTGTATCAAGCTTGAATGTTGTGTCCATACTTGCCCCAACTGTTCAGGGTTCGACCTCTGCGGTCGTATCAAGCTGCGCCCTGCAGAGCATTTTATTGGTTATTATCTTGAATATTATTATAGATAGAGATAAACTGTAAACAGCAATAATGTTCAGCAAAGTAAGATCTACAAATAAGTTGTCATAACCAAAATTGTCAGTCGACCCCTTTAGGAGTTATTGCCTTTAATAGTCAATTTTTAACAATTTTTTGTAAATTTTTGTAATCTTTTACAAAAATCTTCTCCTCTGAAACTGCTGAGACAAATTTAACCATACTTGGCCATAATCATTATTAGGGTATCTAGTTTAAAAAATTTGTCCGATGACCCCGCCTTCCAACCATCATGGCAGACTTTGTTAAAAATAGAACATAGGGGTAAAATGCAGTTTTTATACGCCCGTTTACGGGACGTATTATGGTATACCGTTGTACGTCCGTCTGTCCGTACGTCTGTCCGTCCGTCCGTCGTCAACATGTCGGACATTAACTCAAAAATGCTTTAACCAATTTGCTTAAAACTTTGGTGAATTGTTTATATCTATTGACGTGAGCTCCCTTTCGTTTTTTATAAATTTTAGATATTACGTTTCCGAGTTATGGGGTTTTATTCATTAAAAAAAGGGGGATTTTCCAGTTTTCGGACAATAACTCAAGAATGCTTTCACCAACTTGCAAGAAATTTTGGTTAATTGTTTATATCTATTGACATGAGCTCCCTTTCGTTTTTTATAAATTTTAGATATTACGTTTCCGAGTTATGGGGTTTTATTCATTAAAAAAAGTGGGATTTTCCAGTTTTCGGACTATAACTCAAGAATGCTTTCACCAACTTGCAAGAAATTTTGGTTAATTGTTTATATCTATTGACATGAGCTCCCTTAGGATTTTTGTAAATTTTAGATTTTACGTTTCCGAGTTATGGGGTTTTATTCATGAAAAAAAGGGGGATTTTCCAGTTTTCGGACAATAACTCAAAAATGCTTTTAGCAGTTCTCATGAAACTTTGATGAATTGTTGATATCTATTGATGTAAGCTCCCTTTAGAAATTTATAAATTTTTAGATTTTACATTTCCGAATTATGGGGTTTATTCATTAAAAAAGGGGGGATTTTCCAGTTTTCAGACAAAAACTCAAAAATGCTTTCAGCAATTCGTATGAAACTTTGGTGAACTGTTTATATCTATTGATGTAAGCTCCCTTTAGAATTTTATATTTTTTTTTGTTTTTAGTCTGACAACAGATTTACTAAGTATTGGGCAACAGCACAGTGTATTGCACAACAGCAAGAAATCTTAAATTGAATATAAACTCAATTCATATAACCAACTTCAAGTTCTTTGACTACATTTATTCAGAAACCTATAATAGATGTATGTCAAATATTTAATTACAATCCAAATTCAGACCTGTATCAAGCTTGAATATTGTGTCCATTTTTGCCCCAACTGTTCAGGGTTAGACCTCTGCGGGCGTATCCAGCTGCGCTCAGCGAAGCAGTTTATTGGTTTATATCTCTGAAACTAAAGCATTTAGAGCAAATCTAACAGGTGGCAAAAATGTTCATCAGATTTAGATTTATCTGCCCTGAAATTTTCAGACGAATCTGACAACCTGTTGTTGGGTTGCTGCCCCTGAGTTAGTAATTTTACAAAAATTTTGCAGTTTTTATACGACCGCAAAAAAATTTTTGTGGTCATATATTGGTATGACGTTGGCGTCGTCGTCGTCGTCCGAAGACACATTGGTTTTCGCACTCTAACTTTAGTTTAAGTGAATGGATCTCTATGAAATTTTACCAAAAGGTTTAATACCACAAAAGGAAGGTTGGGATTGATTTTGGGGGTTATGGTACCAACAGTAAAGGAATTAGGGGCCAAAAAGGGGCCAAAAATAAGCATTTTTGTAACTTCCAGACATAACTTGTGTGTTAGTGTATGGATCTCTCTGACATTGTACCACAAGGTTCCAAATCACAAAGGGAATGCTGGGATTGATTTTGGGGGTAATTGCCTTAAAATTTTAGGAATTAAGGGCCAAAAAAGTGGGCAAAAAACAAGCATTTTTCTAGTTTCATGACAATAACTTGTGTGTAAGTGTATGGATCTTTCTGAAATTGTACTACAAGGTTCCATATCACAAAGGGAAAGCTGGAATTGAGTTTGGGGGTAATTGTTGAAACGTTTAGGAATTGGGGGCCAAAAAGGGGCCAAAAATAAGCATTTTTCTAGTTTCCAGACAATAACTTGTGTTCAAGTGTATGGATCTCTCTGAAATTGTACTGCAAGGTACCATACCACAAAGGGAAGACTGGGATTGATGATGGGGGTAATTGCCTCAATATTTTAGGAATTAGGGGCCAAAAAGGGGCAAAAAACAAGCATTTTTCTAGCTTCAGGACAATAACTTGTGTGTAAGTGTATGGATCTTTCTGAAATTGTACTACAAGGTTCCATATCACAAAGGGAAAGCTGGGTTTGAGTTTAGGGGTGATGAATCATAAGGGGGAAAATTTGGGGGGGGGATTTTTTTTTTTTTCATTTTTTTTCTTTTTTTCCTTTTTTTTTTCTTTTAAAATTTTCCATTTTAAGTAGATTATTTCTGATTTATATTTAAAAGCAAATAATAATGATATGGTAGGAGATACACACCAAACAGGATGTGTAAATTATTATATAATAAGTATTGTGCAATAGCATGAAATTTTCAATTGCACAGTATTGCACAATAGCAAGAAATCTTCAATTGCACAGTATTGCGCAATAGCAAGAAATCTTCAATTGCACAGTATTGCGCAATAGCAAGAAATATCCAATAGCACAATATTGCGCAATAGCAAGAAATTGTCAATTGTACAGTATTGCGCAATAGCAAAAAATATTTAATTGCACAGTATTGTGCAAAAGAAGATATTCATATAAATTGCTTATTTCTTGACCAATTTTAATGGGGTTTTATTCTTGAATTCTTGGGGTTTTTTAATATGCTGAATCATACCGTGTATTAAGTTTTTGGATTTTGGGCCCCGTTTTTAAATTGGTCCACATTGAGGTCCAAAGTTCCAAAATTAAACTTTGTTTGATTTCATCAAAAATTGAATTATTGGGGTTCTTTGATATGCCGAATCAAACCGTGTATTTAGATTCTTAAATTTTGGTTCCGTTTTCAAATTGGTCTACATTAAGGTCCAAAGGGTCCAAAATTAAACTTAGTTTGATTTTAACAAAAATTGAATTCTTAGGGTTCTTTGATATGCTGAATCTAAACATGTATTTAGATTTTTGATTATGGGCCCAGTTTTCAAGTTGGTCCAAATCGGGGTCCAAAATTAAACTTTGTTTGATTTCAACAAAAATTGAATATATGGGGTTCTTTGATATGCTGAATCTAACCATGTATTTAGATTTTTGATTTTTGGGCCCCGTTATCAACTTTGTCCACATTGAGGTCAAAAGGGTCCAAAATTAAACTTTGTTTGATTTCATCAAAAATTGAATTCTTGGGGTTCTTTGATATGCTGAATCTAACCATGTATTTAGATTTTGGATATTGGACCATAATAGGTGAATGTCCAATTTAAAATTTTTAAGTTCTTAGACCACATTCATTCTGTGTCAGAAACCTATGCTGTGTCAAATATTTAATCACAATCATAATTCAGAGCTGTATCAAGCTTGAATGTTGTGTCCATACTTGCCCCAACTGTTCAGGGTTCGACCTCTGCGGTCGTATCAAGCTGTGCCTGCTGGGAGCATTTTATTAGTTTCTGTTCTCTACTTAAGTTAGCCTCAACCAAATGTTATGAGACTTACACACAATGCTTATTACCACAAAACTCAGATCAAGTTCTAATTTGGGTAGCGTCACTTTTACCGTTCTTCAGTTATGTCCCTTTATAACTATATGCTATACAAGAGGGGGCATCATCTGTGGACACTATCCACATTTATTTGCATTAGAGTTACCTCAATTACAATGATTCCATACTACAAAGGAAAGACTGGGATTGAGTTTAATGGTTAATGCTCCAAGGGGGATTCGAAAAGTTTGGGGAGGGGCGGGGGGGGGGGGGGTCAATTCGCATAGTGTATTGCACAAAAGCAAAAAATTGAATATAAATTCAAATCATATAACCAATTTGAAGTTCTTTGACTACAGTTATTCTGTGTCAGAAACCTATTATGTGTAAAAAATTTAATTACAATCCAAATTCAGACCTGTATCAAGCGTGAATATTGTGTCCATTTTGGCCCCAACTTTTCAGGGTTGGACATCTGCGGTCGTATCCAGCTGCGCTCAGCGAAGCAATTTATTCTAAGATATTTATAAAAGAAATTAAGCACAAAAAATAAGTGTTTTTTTATTAGTTATTGCCTTTGTACCTTGGATAGATAATATATGTGCAAACATTGGAACTCTGATCTTTTATTATTCTTGTCCAGGTTGATCAATAAAAATGGCCGCCTTGTCTAAAATTAGAAGATAGGGGTCAAGCTACACTTTTGGCTAACATTTCTAAAACTTCAGCAATTACAGATAAACTGACGGGTAAAATTGTCAGCAAAAGTTCTATATACCCTGAAAATTTTGGAAAGTCTGCCTTCCTATTTTAGAGTTATTGTCCCTATAATGTTGATTTTTTACTTTTTTGGCATTTCCTTGCCATTGTTTTAAAAAAGTAGGAGTTAGCTTAAAAGTGTAAACTCCAAAAACAATCAGCATGATGAGCTTATCCACCCTGAAAATTGGAGAAAAATCTAACTTGTTTTGGAGTGATATTCCCCCTGAAATATCTTTTTTTCCCAATTTCTTTTTAGCAGTTATTGGCTATTATTGTAAAAATTATACTATAGGAGCTAGATTAAAAATGTAAATTGCAAAAAGGTTTCGCAGGACAAAATGTATCTACCCTGAAATCATAGAAAAAATTCTGTCAACCGGTTTTGGAGTTATTGCCCCTGAAATGAAATGTTTTTTTACTGTTATTAACTGTGCTGGTGAAAAATATAGGATCTAGGTTAAAAGTGCAACATGCAAAAATAATCAGCAGGACAAAATCTATTAATCCTGTATATTTCAGAAAACCTGTCGAATTGTTTTTGAGGTCGTATAATGTTAGGAAGTTGTCAGCTTCAGCGTCAGCGTCTGAAGATATTTGGTGCCAGACAATAACTTCAGTATAAGTGTATGGATTTCTATGAAATTGTACCACAAAGCTCCATACCACAAGGTTCCATTCCACAAAAGGAAGGTTGGGATTGATTTTCGGGGTTATTGTCCTAATTTCTTAGGAATTTAGGGCCAAAAAGGGGCCAAAAACAAGCATTTTTCTTGTTTCAGGACAATAACTTGTGTATAAGTGTATGGATCTTTATGAAATTGTACTACAAGGTTCCATACCTTAAAAGGAAGGTTGGGATTGACTTTTGGGGTTATGGCCCAAACTGTTTAGGAATTAGGGGCCAAAAAACTAAGATTTTCTGGTTTCTGGACAATAAATTGAGTATAAGTCTAAGAATCTCTATCAAATTGTACAGCACAATAACTTGTGTATAAGTGTATGGATCTTTATGAAATTGTACCACAAGGTTCCATATCAAAAAAGGAAGGTTGTGATTGATTTTCGTGGCTATGGCCCTAACCGTTTAGGAAAAGAGAGCTAAAAACAATACTTTTGTAATACTTTGTATAAATTGCTTATTTCTTGACCATTTCAATGGAGTTTGATTCAAAGTTTTGAATTCTTGGGGTTCTTTAATATGATTTTACTTTGTTTGATTTCAACAAAAATTGAATATATGGGGTTCTTTGATATCCTGAATCTAACCATGTATTTATTAGATTTTGGATTTTGGGCCCTGTTATCAATTTGGTCCACATTGAGGTCCAAAAGGTCCAAAATTAAACTTTTTATTTGATTTCATCAAAAATTTCATCAAAAATTGAATTCTTGGGGTACTATGATATTCTGAATCTAACCATGTATTTAGATTTTGGATATTGGACCATAATAGGTAAATGGCCAATTTCAAATTTTTAAGTTCAATGACCACATTCATTCTGTGCCAGAAACCTGTGCTATGTCAAATATTTTATCACAATCAAAATTCAGAGCTGTTGCACAACGAATAGAAATTGTAAGTAGATTCATAGTTAAAAATAGAAACAGCATCAAATTCTATTTTTAGACAAGAAATTATGTATAAATATAGTTTGAAATTTACTGTTCATTATTAGATATTTTGAAAAAAAATAATAATAATATAATAATAATAATAAAAATAATATAAGGTTATTTTTATAGATTTTTTATTTAAAGACATTGTATTAATGATGAGGCAACCCTTAAAAAATTCTTTGTTTGATGTTGCCTACTCATGCGTTGTAGGGTTGGGTAGGTAAGTAGGGA